AATACTGAAAGTATCATGGACAGCCAGAAGAACAAACAAATCTTGAAGAAATGCAGTCAAAATGTCCCTTAGAAGTAAGGATGGAAAGACATCATCTCTTTTACTTTGGACATGCTGTCAGGAAACACCAGTCCCTGGAGAAGGACATCAGGTTTAAAAAGTGGAGGATCAATGAAACAGAGGAAGACTTCAAACTAGATAGACTGACACAGTGACAACAGCACTGGGTTCAAACATAACAATTGTAAGTAAGGATGGCACAGGCCTGGACAGTGTTTCATTCTGCTGTGCATAGAGGAGCTATGAGTTGGAAGCAACTCAACAGCCCCTAACAACAGTGTCTGCATTCTAATCTCTGACACCTGTGAACATGTTACTTTACATGTCCAAAGGGATTTTGCAGATTGACTAACAAGAAACTATTCTAGATTATTCACATGGTCCTTTTAATAGAAAAGCAGAGGTCAGAGTTGGAGAATGAGATGTAACAACAGATGAGGCCAGAGACAGAGATTTAAAGAGATTTGAAGATGCTACATTACTGGCCTTGAAGATGGAAAAAGGGGCCACAAACCAAGGAATGCAGTAGCTTCTGGAAGCTGGAAAAAAAATCAGATCTTCCCTACCATCAGCAGAAGTAACACAGTCCTGTAAATACATTGAAACATTTTTAAATCCAGGCAGTGCTCACATTGCACAGTTCTAGTATGTACTAATTACACCAGTTCTCCAAAAGCACAGTTCAAATTTCAGTCACAGCATATATTAACTATGAGCATCTGCATATAGTCATTTCTCGCTTTTCCGCCCACAAATCACCATGTAGCTATCACGTGTACACCATCATCTGTGACCAACCATGTCATTTACTCAGACTGTCAGTGATTGGTCACTACACAGCTGTTATTCAGTCCAGGCACAGGCAGCAAAGCATCTAGTTAAGTTGCTTCCAAGTCTCCCAGTGATAGAACCCACATGACATCTTAAAAAATGAATACTCAAACAATAAAACTGCCCCCAAATGATAAAAGTACAGTAAAAAAATGAAAAGTGGTTAATGCCAGAAATGACCTTTGAATCAAACATAAATGAAATTTTATACAAGAAATAACTGACCACGGGAATGTTGACACTGCCACTGTGTTGGGTCCAGACGTTCTACTAAAGGAAACTGTCAGGCTGAACGCACTCGGTTAATACAACAGAATGATCTGTAGCATTAGAATAGCAATTACAAGAACTACAAAGAAAAATGGATTATATACATTATAAATTGACAAAAATAGACAAAAGAATGGCCTATCAACAATGAGAACAAATTTTCAAAGTTTCCCCACAGAAAAAAGTAGAACTAACAAAAGTTAATAGTCTGTAAATCTGTTAGAATGTTGATTTTATTTATATATTATATATTGCCTGGTGTGGTGCTTGTGGGCTAATGCGTCAGACTGCAAAGTTTGAACTACAAAGTTGATGGCTCAAGCTTACCAGCTGCTCCTTGGAAACCCTATACAGGGTCACTATGGGTCAGAATCGACTTGACGGCACTTAACAACAACAAACAAAGATTACATTTTCCATTCAACTTGTACTGCTGATTATACTAAATAATAAACTATCTTTTGTGCCTAAAATACACTTTAATAAATTCAGCAAGGTTCCTTTAACAACAGGATGTTTCTACTGTGCTGATACAGAAAGTTATTAAAAAATATATGTTCTTTCTAAATATAATAATGAACAAATTGACATACATTATTATCCCTTAAAGCAAGTTGGCTTTGAAGACTTTAAACAATGAATGTTGAGGCTAATCACACACAGGCAGTCTTTGGATTATTAAAGTGTACTATACAGACAGCCCCTACTTGCCCTTTAAAACAGGGATTCAAACTGATTCTGTCATGGCCAACAAAGC